TAGACATGATATCCTGTCCACAAACACCATTAGAACAAATCTCTCTACTCATTGAATTAAGAGAATGCGGCTGTATATCTATCCTAACTATTTTGAATGTAGAGATAAAAAACAGTCATTCATCATGGTAACCACCAAGGGTCCAACCCAATTTTCTGAGCTATGACCTCAACTTTATTTTCACTTTTATTTAATGTTACCTCCTTAAATATGCTCCCCACTTTAGCCAAGCTGGTCATGTGCTGGCCCCTGAAGACACTAGCACTGAGCTTGTGTTTGTGACTGGTTCTCTGAATGGATGCTGTTCCACAGCCATGTCTGTCCATCAAGAGCCTAGTACACCTAATGGGTTTGCTCTAATTGCATCATTTTGAAACCCATAACTAAATAAAATCTCTCTTCTATGTGAACATATTATCTGTTAAAGACATTTACTTCCATTTTCTATGTATTGGTAGATGTATAATTATTTATTACCTTTTTCTTCAATCTCCATTTCATTAAGTAACACATAACAATAAGTAACAAGTATACTCCTCTAACCAAGAACCTTGGGAGGTATTTCATGAATTTACAGATACCCCCACAAGAAAGCATGGAGCTCTTAAGATATTTCTAAATATTTTAATGAAATGTTGACCCTTATATGCTTTTATTTAAGACAGTGGATATAAGTCTTAGGATTTGTAAACCATATCTCTCTATTCTGAAGAGCACCTAAGAACTAGCTAAGCAAAAGCTAAAGAAATTAATGTATGTAATTTTATAAAAACAGTTCTGTAACATTATTTAGGTAGAAATTTTTCTTAAAGGAAAAAGATATTTATGTATATATGAAGGATAGCTTGGATAATTGTACTGCTGATTTCTGCTCATCTATTGGAAAGAGCAGTTAATGCTTACATTTTTTCTTCTGTTTAATTTTTATACTTTTTAATCATTTTGACATGTTTATATTTGGTAATCTAAATAACTAATTTGAAGATTACATTATGTAATATAACAATTATTGTAGAAAAAAAAACATTGTCCTAAAAAAAGAGAAATTTTTCTTTACAGAAATTGTTACAAGTTCATGAATAAATAAATATACTCCATTACAGTGGGGCTAAGGCATGCCCAGCAGGACAGGTGGGCACCTGCCTGGCCTGAAGACCGTGTTATGGACATCACAGTCTTTTACTCCATTAACTCCATGTTGAGATAATGTCCATGTAGCTCATATACATTTATAAGTTTAAAGAAACTACATATTGTAAATAAACTTCTAAACCCTGAACATTACTTAATGCTTCCTCAAGAATTCATTACTTCGCTGTGATAAAAGTAACCAACAGATTTATTATTTATAATTCTAACATCATATGCAGTGGTAAGGTAGTTCAACAACTTTTGGTCATTATCAAAGCAGCATGACGATGATCTTTGTAGAACCACATGATATGGATGGCAACTTTCACTTTAGAGAGATTTTCCATGCTTTTGTTTAAGACAGTGGATATAAGTCTTAGGATTTGTAATCCATTTTGTTTACAAATGAAAATGAAAACACTGCTTACAAAACAATGAGAATAAAAAGAACACAGTGAGAGGTAAGAGAAGTACAGAATTTGCAAAATATAACCTAAACAAAAAGGAAACATGGTAAAACTTCTTAAGCTTTCAGACCTCTGGGCAGATTCACCATTATTTACACTTAAAGATCAGTATTACAATGTTTAACCAATATTTACAATGCAGAAAGTTTACAATACACATTTAGTCACTAGTAATTTTTAGCAATATACTTCAGTTTATTTATAGCATGATTTTAACTTTTCCAACATAAACCTTGTGTCAGCAAGCCACAGGGTGGGGGTGCAACTTCTGCCTGCTGCCTGTAAAATAAAGGTTGGAGCACAACAATGCTCCTTCACTATGTGTCATCTGTAGGTGTTTGTATGCTACAAGACGTGGGACAAAGTGACTAAGGGCAAACCAGTCAACAGAGCCTCAAGTACTTCGTCTGCCCCTTCATAGAAGCTTGCTGACCCATGGAACAAACTTTCAATGCCTGATAAAGTAAATATGTAGCTGTAGATTATTCACTGTGAATTCCTACAATCCTGAAAAATTAGTGGAAAATCTTTTTGGCCAGCTTGAACAGGTCCTATCATGTTGTCCCTTTTCCTCTGAAAAGCATGAGGCTAAGTTGTGATACAATGAAAACACAGGGTACAGTCTAGTATTTTCTTTATTGCTAGGGAAAGATTTACTTTCTACAGGATTTGATTAAGATAGAATTTTAGAAATAAAGGAATGCCACTTAAAGAAAATAGTCTCTCATTAATCTTAGCAAGTTTTTAAAGAGTTTAGAATGCTACTTACCAGTTAGTGAAATCACAGAATTCTTCGTTAACCCTGAGAGAGAAGGTGTGTATCCTGCCGTTGTTTTACTGGAAAAGAACATGATTTCATTTAAAATACAAAAACATGCTTCTTTCCATCTCAGTTATCTAACAGTTGTGCTGTTTGAATCTTTAAAATGTTTTTCTCTGCTGTAATTTTCACTTGTCTTTTAACATTCCGAGTCTCAAAAGACTCCGAGTCTCAAAAGACTCGTTTGTTGATCAGTTTCAAGTATATTCTAAGCTTCTGGTTTATTAGAATGATAGTTTTTCTTTTGATGCCAGCCAAGTCAGCAAAGATGAGTAAAACTCTCCAGAAAATAGCTAGCTATCATCCCTTTTATCCATCCTGAGATCGATGGATTGTCTAGAAGCCCTAGATAATGCCTCAAGGTACAGGGGAAATTCTGAAATAAATTAGCTATAATGAAAGTAAAAAGGGTTTCTGTAACATATTACTTGAGAAGCAAATGAATGCTTACAAAGACATTTCTTTTCCTAAGAGGACTGCGCTGCGCGCCGACCTGCCACTGGCAGGTAGCGCACGTGCGCGGCCCACGTGAGGCGTCGTGGCCACTTGATTTATGCTGCTTCTCTTCTAACCTGAGCCATTTCTAATTTTTTCTCCTGAACTGAAAAAGGAAACCAGACCTTTACCTAGTGTCAGTCCTCTGTCAAAGCTACTTTACTGTATGAACACTGTAGGCATCTCCTTAATTTCGTGAAAAAGATTTCATAACAAAATAGCAAGAGACTAGCAACACTTACTACACCATCATGATCTTCAAAGTAGTTATTCATAACACAAAACAGATGAAAAATGACTCTCAGGTCAGAGAGATGGCTCAGGAGAATAAGCACTTCACTAGCAAGCGCAAGGGTCTGAGTTCAATCCCTGGTTCCGCCACAAAAAGACTCTCTTACCACGAAGAAACCAACAGACAAAAGTACAAAACTTTTTTTTTCTCTTTAATGTATTTAGGACAGAGCCTACAGGGTCTACGGGGTATTACTACATAGATCAAAACCAGTGATCCTCCTGTTTTCAGCCTCCCAAGCGCTGGGATTACAGGCACGCCCAGTCTCGATCCCCATCTCAGCCAGCACAGCACGCTGGGGATCGAAGCCTAGCTGCTGCGCTCTGCCTAAGCAGGCACTTTAATCAGCTGGGCTTTCTGGCTGGCCCACAAAACTTTCTTTTCAATAAACTAAGAGAAACTAGTAGTATAAATGAAACTAATTAGCATAGATTGAATAGTTTTGAAACCACAGAATAGGTAATTTGTGAATTATTTTAATTTCTACTTCCTATTTATCTATTATCTCTTTTGCTTTTTAACTATATGTCTTTATGTGTATGTGTGTGTGTGTGAGAGAGAGAGAGAGAGAGAGAGCGAGCAAGTGAGCACATGGAGAGAGCTTCTCCTATGGTCTTACAGGAAGAAACGATATTAAGAGCAAATGAAAATCCATTCCAGCCAGCACATAGGCCTTCCCTACTGGCTTACAAGTTCAGTAATGTACAGTAGGGCACCACCTTCCTCCTAAGTGGCACATGGATTCCACAATGCTCTCGCCCTAATACCCATTTTCTGCAAAAAATGGGTATTACTATACCCATTTTACTATTTTGATGGACTTTACTATATTAAAAAAACTTTACACATAAAATCAGATTATTGGCCTATTAAAACTCAAGATTCTTATTTTTACAAAAATGTAACTATTTAACCTAAATAAGTATGTGTGACTATAAAATTTACAAAGTTAAAGAGAGCCAGCAGGTCATACCTGGCACATTTCTCTAAGTTGCCATATTTTGCATGAAAAGCTTGATTATTAAAAGATTGGCTTCGAATCAATTTGGACTTCTTGATTTCTTTGCCTAGAGTAATAAACAAAAGAAAGGAAAATGCAACTGTTCATTTTGTCCTTAGTTATCCCAACTCTCATTATTTTCAGAAAAAGACAGATGACAGATTCTTCCACTAGTTTGAGCTCACCGAAATGCATACTACCCATGTGACCCATTAAGAAACACTGAAACAACTAAAGCCAAAGACATGAGGTGCATTACAATAGTATATCTAACAGAATGCACTTGCCTGGAATTAATTTATTAAAAGGAAAGCATGATTGTGAAACAGACATAAAAAGAAGTTATGCCTTACTTGTTGATGGGTTGCTAGAAGAGGCTCCAGGAACAGAAATGGGGACGCTCTTGGGCAGACTCTGTGTCGGTGTCTTTGTATCTCTGCCTAAAATAAATTCTGTTTTAAATTGTATAATTTCCTCCGAGTCTTTATTAATCTCCATAAACATAAAACACCAAAAATGTGAATCATTGTCCCTGGTTAAGCTGCACCTTTCCCAAATAGTCTCCTTTTTATGTATTCCATATGCCAGTCACTGCCACTCAGTGATCAGTCTCACAGTCCTACAGCTATCACCAACTTGAAGCTTTCCTTTGGAAGCATCTGCACCTCCGCACTGATTCCTGACATTTACTCGTGTATTCCTAACATCTGTACCACAGTAAGCAACCAATTTTCAAAAGCAACTTCTGAAAAATAGAAGAAAGTGAAGCAATTTGCTTCACTTAGTTAAAACAGCGTGGTCTACAAGGTGTCACTATGCAACAGAACTTCGGTAACGGGGTGGTGAAGACACAGGAAAACCACTTACGTTTCTTCTCAAAGACCTTATCACTTGGGGGCCTTCCATCGTTCTGTTGCTTCTCCTTCTCCAATTGCTCCTGTTACAAAAGCCACAACTTTGTGTTAATGTATAGCTTAAATACACTTGCGTTGTTTTGATGAAAACTTACTTTAAGTTATAACAATTCATAGATAGGTCATGGAAGTGTTTTTCTCCCATATTCATGTCTAATGAATTCAAGGCTCTGTCAAGTTTGTGCTCTATCAACATCTTTAAAAAAATTTTGTCCTTGACAGTTTTTCCAACTAAATCAATCTGGCATCATTGTAATAAATCTCTGTTTCCTAGATACTATGTACTGGTTCTCATCAGCAGAATATTTGTTGCTACTGGTTATTTCAATTTTTAATTGGCGAATGGCAAAGTAATACTTTTCTTTAAAAAAACTTAGAAAAAAGGAAATAGTCTATTGGATATGTTTATATAATTTATTAAAGTATAATAGATAGATAGATAGATAGATAGATAGATAGATAGATAGATAGAGTAAACAAGTTACAAGAGAAATCCATCAAACAAATTAAGGAGAAATATACAAACTGTCAGAAAACAGAGGAAGTAGGAACACAAGCCATTTAATAAAAAAGACCCCCTCAAAATGACCAAAGAAAATTATAAACTGATTTCACTATGATTCTATGAATACAGATTAAAAATTTGTTAACAAATACATTAGCCAATAATGTAACAATAGGAAAAAAGGATACGTGATCACCAATTTTTTTGTACTCTAAATACAATATTGGTTTACTACTTGAAAACATTTAATATAATTCACTATATTAACAGAATAAAAGGGAAAACCAGATTTCATTGCTAGATACAGAGATATTTGACAAAATTCAACAACAACTCATAGTAACTTAGTAAACAAAGAACAAGAAAAAACTTCTTCAATGTGGTGAGACATCTACATAAAACTATGGCTGCTTTCATACCTAATGACAAAAGATGACACTGCTTCCCACTAGGAAAAAGAGAGGGATGCTCACTGACCCCTTTTATTCAATGAGGGGTCTTTAGCACTGAAGTTGCTAGATCTTAAACGAAGAGATCGAAAGGAGGGAGGGAGGGAAGAAGGGGGGAAGGAAGGGAAAATATTCAACAGGAAGAAGTAATCTTGCTATATTTAAAGAAGATATATTGAAAATCCTAATGAATCTAAAAAATGAAACTTAGCAAATTTATAAAGATACAAGATTAATATACAAAATCTATACTGCTGTTCTTATAACCTACTAGCAAAACTTGAAAAACATTTAAACTGTTCAGAATATGTAAAAACTCTTATATCTGACAATAATAAGCCATCTAATTTAAATTCTAAAAATAGACCAGCCAAAGATAGGAAAGGTCAATAAAAAAGTGAAAAGATGATCAATATCTTTAGGCATCAGGGATATGGAATTTAAAATCATAAGGAGATATCAGCATATAGCACTATCATGCCTACAATTTAAAAAAAAGAACTATATCAAGCCTTTTGAGAGTAGCTAAAGTCTCCTGCCAAAGCTATGAACATGTAAAATGGTACAATCATGTTGGAAAAAAGGTTTTATTTTGAATAAAGGTATATCCTATCAAGTATCTAGCCATTCTACCCCTTGTATTTATCAAAGAGATGAAAACATGTGTCTACCCAAAGACTTCATTATTAATGTTCAAAGTGGTTTTATTCGTAATATTCCAAAACCAGAAGTAACTTGAATGTTCACTGAGAGGTGAAAAGATACGCCAATTGCGCTATGGACACAGTAGGAAGTGCTCTTCCAAAACACAGAGGAATGGCCCCTGGCACAGCCAACAATATGGCTGAGTCTCGAAACTATTATGCTGCTGGGAAGAAGCATGCTCAGACTAGCACAACTCAAGACAGCTAAAGCTTGGAGGCAGCCTAGAGCCCATCAATAGGCCAGCGGAGAAAGAAAATGTAGTATCTGCACGCAGTGAGGCACTACTGCCACAGAGAAACGTGGACTTGACTCACTTGGAGGAAAATAGATGGACCTGGAGACCCGTGTTCAGCGGACCAAATTAGACAAGTGTAAGTCGTATGTGGTTCCTCATATATAAGAAACCCAACATAAATAAAGAGCACAAGGAAAGGCAAAAGAAAGTAGGGAGAAAGGTCTCTCTCAGATGGGAAGGAGATCAAGACATGGGGGAAGAGGGACGCAAAAAGGGCTTAAGATGTATTATGGGCACACACCAGCGCCACACAGGGAAGGTAAGGCAGACATCAGGTTCTGCCTACGTGGACTAAGAAAAACATAAAAATTTAAAAAGACTGCCTACAACTCAATTTATATAAGCTCTAGAAAATGTAACTCTTCAGTAATGACACAAACTAGCTCAGCAGATGATGGGGACTGAAACAGCCGAAGACGTGGATCACCATGGGGAACAGGAAACTTTGGAGACAACAGACATATTTTGTATGTTGATTATACCACATATACACTTTACTTTTTTTGTTTTGGGGGTCTTATTTTGTTGATACAGGGCCTCCCTGTGCAGCCCAGGCTGGCCTTAAAGTCGCGGTGACCCTCCTGACGCTGCCTCCTCAGTGCAGCCTCGCCATACCTGTCTACCCCTACGCACCTTAATTACTTGCAGATAATGGTATTGCAATTTTACTTCAATAGCTTTTTTTTTTAGGAAATCAACAATGACTGTTATACTACATATTTTTATCTTCAAAGTACTTGTTCAGATTACCAGATACAGGCATGCAGAATTGATCAAAAATTTAGGCATTAGCTATTCCTTTTAATAAACCAATAGAAATTATGAGTGCAGTTATCTTAGTTATGTTGTGTACTATATTCAATCATTTTTAAAAAGAGGTTCTCAAATATATTTTTTCTTCTAGTTCATAAAAAGATTTCAGAAAACTACAATTCTTTAGTTATTTAAGAACACAAAAGTAATGTGAAATTGAAAGAAATTATCTTTTAAATTGATTAACAAATCACAGTTAAAACTGACCAGAAGAGTATGTGTGCATATAAAAACAACATACCATTTCTAGAAAAAGCAGTTCTTCTCTTTCTTTCTCTTGATCCAACAAATCTTTTTCATAAAACTTTTTCTGAAACTGAAGTTTAAAGGGACACTGTCAAACATGAGGAATGAGCTGTCCATTGATTTTTAAATATTCCTTCCAGTAGAAGGCACGGCAGATACTTACAGCATCCATAGACATTTCCATTCTGTCCAATTCCAACACAGTCTGGAAAGAAAGTTCATAGAATTATTCAACAACAAGTCAGTTCAGCCAACCATTTCTTAGAGATTCCCTTTCCCAGAAATGTTCAAAGAGAAGAAGATTTCCATACTGTGTGAAGATGAAGTTAGGAAACTTTAAAGTTCTACCCAACTACATACTGTACTTATCATAAACTTCTAAATATTAATGTCAGGATCCATTTTAACTTTTAGATGTTCTTAACTTTCAGAAGAGCAAGTCTATAGGCATATTTTAAATACCAAATTCCTAGCTAGGTGAGTGTAGCGCTGCATGCCTGTAATCCCAGCATGTGGGAGGCTGAGACAGGACAATCGCTGTGAGTTAGATGGCAGCCTGGGCTGCAAGGGAGTTCTAGGCCAGCCTGCACTGCATAGTGAGACCCCGCCTCAAAAAACCAAAGTAGCAGCAGTGATTGTAATGACAACAACAATAATGCTAATAACCAAATTCATGCAATTCAACTAATTTCTAGTAAAGCCCAAAGCCAATCGCTTCTGGATTTTCAAAAATACCGTTTTTAGGTTTGTTTTTTTGTTTTGTTTTTGCTTTCTTCAGACAGGTCTCACTATGTAGTTCAGGCAGGCTTTAAACTTACAGTGTGGCCCAGGCTGGCCTCGAATTCACAGCTATTCTACTGCCTCAGCTTCCCAAATTCTGGGATTACAGGTATGCTCCACCATGCCTGGCTCACCTCT